TCGGCGTGTCCCGCCCCAGCAGGTGGCGGCCGCAGCGGAGAGCAGTAGCTTTCCCCCGACGGCTGAGAGGTGAGGGAGCAGAGAGGTTTATGGGGCTGGAGCGGAGCACCACCGTCGGCATTTGGTGAAACCACAGCACGACTTGGACAGATTAGCAAAGGCAAACTCCTGGGGTCTGCTCCTCCCACACAGTTGGCAAAGGCATATTTTTTATTTTGTAACCAACCGAAGGAAAGGTTTGGCTCGCCAGTCGGTTTTTGAAGAAGAAACGTGTAGACTTTCTACCTCTGCCAGCTCAACTGAGCACATTAGAAGGATAGCGACGGCTGCCCCTCCGGGGCCACGTGCCCGCCAGAGAGGAAGGCGGTTACTACTTGGCAGTCTTGTGGTGCCTGGTCCTGCAGTGATCATTGAGAAACCATTTTAATCAATCACTGCTCCGCTGTAGCAGAGTAAAATGCATTGTGCTAAAGGACTGCTCAAATGAAAACACGGCAATGATTGTCCTAAACTGCACGTTTAACACATGAGTCCAATCCCTACCCCGAAATACTCCCAAAACAGTGATCTGCCAGCTCCCATACCTCTCAGACCCAATCTCTTTTCTCCTAATCCTTGCCTTTCTGGAACATTCCAGGCATGCCCCTGCCTTAGGGCCCTTGACCAACTGTTACTTCTCTCCGGACACAGATGTCTGCATGGCTCACATTCTCACTTCATTCCCGTCTTTGCTCAAATGTCACCTATTTGAGGAGGCCAACCTTGACCACCCTATTTAAAGCTGCAGCCTGCCCCCTCCTCATGCCCCCTACCTGTTCTACTTTGTATCCCCCTCACCCCCCATACCACTAATCCCATAGTTTCCTACATAATTTGTTTATTTCTTCTTTTTGTAGGTTTCCTTTCTGCTAGAATGCAAACTCTGCAAGGACAAGTTTCTTTGTTGGGTGCATAGAACAGTGCCTGGAGAATAGTAAGTGTTCATCAACATTTATTGAATGGGTTTGTTACATGACAAACTTTTCTCCCCATCTTTATTTTCTCTTTGCGGTTTCTCAACTTCAAATTTTTAATGGAAAGTTCTGTGGCAGAGTGACCTCACTATCCTGACCTCTTAGTGTGTATAAAAACAGGGAATTTTCTTTGAGAGAAGGAAAAATAATGGTTTCAACTTAAACGACTCTTTGATTTCCAAGTTGTTTTCTGTTAGCAAAACAAGTTTCTATTTTAATCTCAGGAAATATCCATGCCAATTCAGGCTTGGGACATTATTTTAGGCAAACAGCTTGGTGTCATCCATTTCAGATCTTTCTAATGCAGTCCAAAAATGTAGGAGTCAAAATATTTTTTTTTGCAGAAAATCAAATTTTTGTAAGTGTACTGTGGGCTCGGTTCCAGGCTCCAGTGGCTACTCCTTAGCCATTTTCTTTGTTTATTGGTTCCTGGATTTGGATTTGCAAATAAGCCTCAGCTAAGGAATGGGTGATTAGGGAGAAGGGGCTAACCTTCTAGCTAAAAACTGGAGATAGAAGGAGAAGAAAAACAGTGGTGGGTGAAAACAGGACTGCTCTGGAACAAAAGGGCAGTGGCCCATCTGCGTGCCTCTTTTATTTGTCCTTATCTTTTCTTGGGCCTAGAAAACACTCCATCTTCCTTCTTCATTTGGACACTCTCCACTTATCCTTTGGGTCCAAGCTTAGCTGACACTGACCAGGGAAGCCCTTTGATTCTTTGCTTGGTTGAGCTTCCTGTGGTATGTGCTTCTACAACCCTATGCATTTTCTGGAGTAACTCTTAATGCACAGTTGTAATTGCTTCTCTACTAGTCTAGTTTCTCCTGAGACACTAATATAACCAATAGGAGGGCAAGGGTAGCTGTCACTCTATCCCTTGTGCTTGACACAAGGCTTAAAAATCAGCAACTATTAAATATAGGTTATTCCAAAAAATGTATGCACACTCTGAATAATTATTATTTCCAGTGGGTTAAATCTAAAAAGAAAGAAACATTGAGCTATCAGAACAAGGTATGTATACATTTTTGAGGGGTACCGGGTAGGTTGAATTAGGTTGGATTGAATTCTGCCTGGTGAACTGTAGCTTCTCCCTTGGGTGAGCTGTAGCTGATTATATCTGTTTTTGTTGAATCATGGAATGAGGAGACCCTAAAGGAATTCCATGTTCTACCTGGTTAATATGCTGCTCTTATGGCCACCAGTGATCATTCCAAAAAAGAGGTGGAGTTCCCAAGCAGTGACATTTCACTATCTGTCTTAAAAACAAACAAGAACCAAATCAAAACAACTTGCTTTTTGCCCTGCTGGCGTAGCTCAGTGGTTGAGCATCGACCTATGAACCAGGAAGTCA